CCATGGACTGATCCATAGTTAGACATTTATCTGCAACAGCTCATAGGCCTGGGGCAATGAGTAATCTCCTTTAGCAGGTTTACCTGCTAAAATCACTGCTGATGGGCACAGAGTTTGGCAGGATAAATCAGTAGGCCACTATTTCTCTCTGATCACCTAGGCCCAGCTATGTGGAGGCCAATGCTCTTTCTACAGTATCCTTGGTGCAAAGAGTGAGTTTGTGTCTCACTGGAGCTCATGAAGATTGAGCAGGCCAGGCCCATCCCTATGACACTGGCAGAACTCCTGCCCTCACCGTGGTAATGGAGTTGTTTGAATCCACAGCAGGCACTGCGGAGATCAAATACAAGTCTAGCCTGGATCTCTCTGTTTATGTAGCAACAGGGGACTATTGTTCTGCGAAAGCAGGCTGTTTGTGCTGACAAGACTTCCTTGTTATTTAGTTTGGTTAAATAACTCAACTCCCCTTTACCTTCTTCCTGCACAGCAGGCTGCAGGCTGCACAGCAAAAGCAGTTAAAGCAAAGCACTACGGCCTCATTATCATGCTGCTTTCTATTCAAGGACTCTGTCTCTGTTCCCCTCTCCCACTGTGTGCTGCTTTTATTGCTCCACCCTGGCTCATTAGCAGTGTCTCAGCCTTGCCCCCTCTGACTGTCAGCCCAAACCACTTTCCTCCCTCCTGAGTCTCCCCATTATTGACAGCCTTGAGGAAAACAGGGGGTGTGCACTGAGAGCCACTAAGAGGGATTTTGGCCACAGTTAAGGTTCCAAATCCCAGCAGCCACCACTGTAACCAAATGCTCAGGGCACAACAAAGCGTGGGCAGAGTGGAAGGAGGGGTGTCAGTGTGTGCACACTTGTGGCAGGATGCTAACAAACAATGACAAGCTAATGCCAGCTTTTAGGAACGTGCCTTGCTGCAACCAAAACTGCTGGGCTCCATCTGAAGCTTCTTGAGTTGGCACTGTCTTGCCAGCTTCTGCTTCACCTCCATGCTTGCTGATTCCCCAGAGGGTGCAGAGGATGCAGCAGGGGACCTGCTGATGTGGCAGTCTCCTATAACTGAGCCAATTGAGCCAGCAGGACTGCATGAGGATGTGCAGCACTGTGCTGCTGTCTCCTGTTTCAGCCTGTGGGATGGGCTAACTCAGCAGGAGGCAGAAGGCGACTCATTTGGAAAAGCTTTTCTTTCTTTTCTCTGCTAGAATGTGCTTGGTGCTGCACCTGCTTGTGTGTGCCTGTGGAGGGGTGTGTGGGTTTGCTTCTACATCACAGAGGTGCATGCCTATGTGTACATACTCACCTACACATAAACCTATGTATCTGCTGTGTGTTTATATGTATATATATATGTGTGTGTATATATATATATATATATATATATATATATACACACACACACTTCTGTGTAGCATGTGTTAAGATACAAGTTGTGACTTTCATTCATAATGCTTTTCATGGTACTGCTGGGTGAGTAAAACGAAAAGAAAATATGTTCCCTACCTCTAATACACTTGGAGGAAGAACCCTTTTGCTTCAGTTGTGTTACTGCTTTTCACCTCTGTTGCTCTGTGATGGCAGCTCTAGCTTTGCCCCTCTGTCAGGTAATTTTCACAGAGATGTGTATTACCCTTTTTTTGTGCTTAGGGGTTACATACCTTGCTCCCAGGCTCTGCAGAGCTGAATGAACCTACTGGCTCACCAGTGCTGCCAAACATGGTCCTGCCTCCCAAATCTTCATACTCACAGATGTGTGATAGAGCTTGCTCTCCTGCATGGGCTTTGGTTCCTTTTGAGCCCAGCCATGAACTAGTTCAGCTCACCACAGTGAAAGAAATCATTTGGGGCATTTTAGGGAGATGAGCAGTAAAGCTCATTTACCTATTCACTGGTTTAGCAGGTTGGACAGCCTTACTGGGATGTCCACTGAGTGGCAGAATAAGGGAAACAACAAAACCACGTGGCAGAGGGCAGGATGAGCAAAAGGACTGGGGAACAAGGAATGTCAGCAAGCTATTAGATCAGTTGTATCATCAAACTGTACCTGAGTACCCTCTCTACAAACATACTCCATATTTGCTGTTGGAGACAGTTTCCTGGGAAAGTTAAACCTCTGATAGGCCATATTTATGTTGTTGTAAACTCAGTCTCCAGGAGTGAGGGGTATAAATCTCTCCACCTACAGCAAGCAATTCTGCTGCTACATCCTTTAAGGAAGATCACTAGCTATCTATTCATACAGCTCAAGGAGGCTGCTTTTGTATTTTAATGCATCTTCTATCTATGACATTGACATCTAAGGTACTCAGTCTCTCTGAGAGTTTTTCAGTGCTGACTGAGATTTCATGAAATGGTAGCCACCAATTTTTCTCTATTGCTAAACTGTTCTTTCACATCATTTCGCTCGCTCCCTGTTTGTCCTCCACCTCAGGCAAAGCTGCCAGTAGCTCATTATTAACTCTCTGGTTGTTTCTTCACTCCTTGCTGCCATTCTCTTTTGTGCTGCAATGGGACACTGAGGAACCATCACTGTACTCACTCCCTGGTGGGATGTTGCTGTACAGTGAGCTTGTTCTCTGTTTAAAAAGGAAGCAAGATCTCTGATTCCAGGGATGAAAAACACTCCCAAGTATTTGAGTATCTGCTGTACCTTGCAAAAACTTGTCACTGCTTTATTTTTCTGTCTGGGTGTGTGGCTCGGAATGTGCAGTACCTGTTATTTCAGCTACTGTGTGATTACTACAGCATTTCTTTCATCTGGGCTTGTAGGTTTTTCCAGCAGCTTTCTTTATCTTTATGAAGCTGGATTCCCTTCACTCATTTCCCCCCTGATTTCTTAACCTTCAAAATAGCAGCTGTAGTCTGCCTGAATTTATTTTTTTCTCTCTCTTTCCTTCTTCCACACTAACTAGAAGAACAGAGATTTCCTGAAACAATATGAAGCAATTGCAAGTGAAAAAGTAGGGATTAACCAAGCAACAAAAAAAAGTTAGAAAGACTTCACTAAAAATCATCAAATCTCTCTCAGCTCCTGCACCTCCATTCTCCTGGCTCTTGTGAAGTTCTCTAGTGTCCTCCAGTATAAACAGGCCTTGAATTTCTAAAAAATTATAAACAAAGTCCAACTACTTGAAAGAAAGTGTTCTTCATACACATCAAAAGGGGGCTAAAATAGGATCCTCACTGTTGCAAACCATCTTTAAGAGTTGCCACATTTTCTCACGGAACAGTTAACAGCAACTTTGTAAGGTTTCCCTGGGTTTCTCACTGGTTCTGCCACTCATTTTATGACCATGGGTAAACCACTTCTTCACTCTGTACCTTCCTACTGCAAAATGGTGCTAACAACACTCACCTATTTCTAAATGACTTGTAATATTTAAATATTCATTGCTAGCAAATCCTTTGAGATCCTTTGAGGTGAAGTTCTGAAGTCATACAAAATGCTTCTCTAGCAAAACTAAGCCCCCAACTAAAATCATATGTGCATATATACATTATTGAATTTCATCTTCTATTTTGTTTCAGTGATGCATTTCAGTTCATCTGTGTAACAGGAACCAAACAGAGAGGGCCAAATTTAAAATTCAGTCACAAATAATGGATTCTAAACATAGAATTATATTAATATCAGCAAGAACAAATCTGGAGTATTTGAAAATTGTGTTCCAGATTGCTGCCTGAGGATTTTTTTTGAATCTCATGACAGTCACAAGACCAGGGTGAAAAGACTTTCAAAGTAGAAATTTGCTTTGTGTGCTGCAATGGTACAGGAAATCAAATATATGTTCTTTTATGATAATAGCTGTTCTTTAAAAAATAACTGCCACAAAATACACCCAAACTCAGGAAAATTCAAGCTGCCATGAAATAAATCCAAAGGTGGTAAACAAAGAATGCCCATGGATTTATCCTTTTGCACTACATCTGTTAAAAATAACCAAACCATAACTTTGATTTTTTTTGGTGAGAGCAGAAACTAGACTAAACTGCATCCCATACTGACTGCTTTACAAAGCTTTTTTTTTTTTTTTTTTCCTGTTTGAAAGGACGTGCAGGTTATGACATGAGAGTTTTAATTCAATTTGGGACTGTCACAGGAACACTGCCATCAGTCACTTTTGTGCCTATGTGTTCATTGTGTGAGTGGGTCATTTTGCTGCAGCATATCCCTGATGCCAATAACATGTGGGCCAAGTCTAGCCCAATTTATAGACCTGGAATTGGGAACTGCATTTTAAATACACCACAGTTTGTATGTGCATGTGGATGGTAGGTGAGGGGCAGGGTCTCTGTTTACGGTCAGGTTTGAATCAGCTGCAAAATTCAGAAACAGCAGGAAACTCTGCTCTAGTGCTTGGTCTAGTCCCAGCTTCTGCTTGTTTATACTTACTAAGACAAACTCAGTAATTGAAAGGTAGCAGAATGAGATCCGAGGAACCTTATTCCATATTTCATCTGTTGATTACCTTTCTCCCCATGGTCCCTACGGTATATCCCTTTAAAATCATTCTGTCTTTTCTCATTTCTGTCCCTTCCAGTTTCAAACCAATTTCTCTTTTTCTTGACTCTGTCACTGTTCTCCTCAGGCTCAGTGGCTAGTTCTCTCCATCTCTCTGAATTACTTGTCATTTCTCAGCTGTCATGGATCCTCCGAGCCCTGGCCTTCTGTCTACTTATTAAAGGGGCTGTCATTCTAAAGGGCTTTTTGTTTCCAGCTTTAAAACAAACACATTTTTATTATTTTAACAAAATCTTTCTTCAGCAAAGCCAGTCAATCAAAGGGCTTGACTGTAAACCTTTCAATTTGGCTGTTTGTGTTTCAAGGCAAGTATGAACACTTAGGTATCCAAAGCAGAGTGTTGGAAGCCAGGTCATGGCTGGAGGTCTGAGGGGACTGGGTTGTCAAGCAGATGCCTTCCTGAGTTTTGGCCACTGTGTGCTTCCTGCACAGCCGTGTCTTTGCGAGAGCCTCCCTTCACCCTGTCCTGTACTCACTGTAAAGGTATAGGCTGGCATTTGTGACTCCCAGCTTGTTGGCAGCCACACAGGTGTAGTTCCCGTAGTGCTCCTCAGTGACATTGGCCACCATCAGCAGAGACTGGCTCCCCGTGCTCTTTATCTCCAGACCATTGGCGCTGTTTATCCTGGGAAGACAGGAGAAGAGGTGTCCAGTGCAATGGCAGCTGTGTCCTGGGAAGGAAATCCCTCCCCAGCACACAGCAAAGCAAAGTCATTCAGCTCAGCTGGCAGGTGAGGATAGAGGGAAGAAGGGAGGGGATGTGAGAGGAAAGAGACCAAAGAAGGTATGGATGGAAAACAGGAGGAGGGAATGAAAGGTGAAGAACCAAGCAAAGACAAGGGAAAGGGAGGAAGCATTTACCCAGCACTGAGTTACTCTGGAAATGAACACACCATGGCCAGCTGAAGGCTAGTCTGTACTTGAACAACATATTCTTAGTGAAACACACTTATTCACAATATGCGCCTATAGCAATGCTGAGTCACTCCTGAGCACCCTGTTCAGGTCTGGCTACCCTAAAATGTAGGGTAATAACACAACCTTCTTAATGCCAGGTAAATGCTTAGGTAGAAAGGACAGAACCTTTTTTTCTTATTATTTATTCTCATATGCAAATCTGACAGGCTCAGGTCACACAGGTGAGGGAATCTCATACCTCAGCAGCTCCTTTCCTTAGAAGAATGAACCTGAAGCAGCATTACCTAGTTGAAGACTTATACTACCTACTTTTTGGTCTGCATCATGGGCTACTTAACACATGAACAATGTATTAATTGGGCATTGGCCCATAATTGACTTCAAGGCAGGAGCTCCATCCTCTGCACTTCCTTCAGCATCTCCAGCGCAGAGAGGAATTGCCTACTCCAGCCATGACCATGCTGGCACTGCTGAGACTGATGGGACACCGCGACTCAAACGGATTGTAAGGAGCAATTTGTTTGAGAGGAGTTGGGGAGGATGACAGGAACCCCTATTCAATGGACTGAAGAGAGGAGGGAAGAGGCGAGCTAAAGGCCTTACCTGGTATCATCTCTGTACCACTCGAAATCAGGCGTGGGCACTGCTGACGCCTCGCACCGCAGTAAGGCTTGTCGTCCCGTGGCCGCTTCATTGCTCTTGGACTCTGTGATGGTGGGAGGGTCTGCAGGAAGGAAACACGTGGTCAATCCACACACTTCCAGGTGAAACAAAACAGTGAAACTGTGTCAGGGCTGCCTGCTTCATGCAAACTGTTTGGGCTACTGGAGGCCCACAGCAGCTGTTTGCTGTGACCCTTGTTCCGCCCTGCTCCTTTACAGAACACCACTCTTTGAACATTCCCTCATATACAACATTAGCAGCACTCCTTACACGTGCTTTTCTTCAGCACTGCTGAATAAAGTTCTGTCATAAATGCAAAGACATGCACAGGCAAAGTTAAGGTTAATGATGGACTTCTGCAATTTATTAATATTTACCTATGGATCTGTAGTTCACATGGGCTTATCAGAGAGAAGAAGATGAGAGAAAGACTTCATCAAGGGTAAAGGAAGACAGTAAAAGTAAAGGAATAAAGTAGCAGTTTAACACTAGCATGAAAATTGTATTCCATACAAACTTTCTGCCTAATGCCAAAACTATAATAAAAAAGGACTGAGGCAACATGAATGAAACAGAAATACATTAATGGCTTAAAAGAGAAGAACTTTAGCAGAAGCTGTGGGTGCAACTCTGAGAGCCAATGTTGAGACACTTCCCTTAGGTGTCCAAGGTTACAAATCCTGATCACCTGGACATGGTGCTTTGTGAAAAGCTCCAGAAGGGCTTGCTTGTGACTGCTCTGCCTGAAGTTTGCCCTCAGCCCAGCATGGTGCTCCCACCTCTGCTTACTTTGAAGTCTGAGTGTTGTGCCATGGGCAAACCCAACTTGAAAACTATATTGGTGTGCTCTGCTGGAGCTTGGTCTCAGTACTTGCTGGATAGCAGATAGGGTAGGCATCGGCATCTTCAATCCCAGCCCCATAGTCAAAATATTAAGCGATAAGCTTTACATGTTAAAAGGCAGAATTATTTCCACCTGGCTGCTGAGAGGGATCAAGGAATAAGTGCCTTGTCTCTCGTCACTAATACTTGCCTACCCTGAGATTACAGGGCTGCGACTCAGACAGATACTTTGCTGAGACTCAAGTTACCATGAAACACACTTTGCCATCTGTATCCGTCCCAGAACTGAAAGGGAAAAAAAAAAAAAAAAAAAAAAAAAAAAAAAAAAAAAAAAAAAAAGCAAAATGGATTGTGTCAGTCAAAGAAAAAAAATACTTCTATCTGGAGAATGTAGGGAAGGAAATTTGTTTGTGAACACATTAGCCATCTCAATATGATCCCTTCCCTGACCTTAATCGGGATTTTATGCAGGGCTTTAGGGATATTGCAGTGCGCCCTCCAACATCATAAATATTAATAAGTTTACATAAATAGGATCCTACATTCAAAGGCTGTGGGTTCAAGTGAATGTTTTAATTTGAAAAGGAGGTGGGGTAATAAAAGGATAGCAAAGGTGATTTTTTTAACCATTCTTATTTAATTTTTTGGTTTGAGCAGTCTATCTTCTTACTGTCTATACAGCGAGACAAACAAAACTTTCCATTTCATGAATCTGGCACAAGAGGTGAGTCACAGAATGAATGGGCATCTTTCCATGGTACTGGAAAGTGATTACAGCGTCTGCTTCCCAGCCTGCTGCCAGGGAGCCCAGCCCCTCGCTCTGAGCAGTCCCCATATTCACCACTTTAAGAAGTTGGTGCAGTGCTCTCCCGGGAGAAGGGGCAGGTGACAATCCCAAACAAACCAGAATATTGCACCTAGAAAGCAGCTGCTCTGTGTGTAGCTGTTTGCTGCCTGGGAAGCCAGGGGCGGGTTCCCTTTAGCTGTTCTCCTCCCACTCTCCCCAGGCCTCAGTTTCCCTGTCTGTGATGTGCAAGGGCAATTACTTGGGAAGCCTGAAGGTGGTAGTGTAAGACCAAAGCAAAGTGAGATGCTTTCTCCTGCAGTCCAAGCTGACAGTGCTCCACAGCAGATGATAAGAGATGGCCAGGAAGATCCTGAGGTTGGACAGGCCCCATTTTTCAAACTTACTATGGTTTTCCCACTTTATGCTGCTTGTGTTGTTGTTTAACAAAGCAGGATGAGGAAAGATGTATGCAAATATCTAATTTTCATTCCCCTAATAGACTGGTTTTTCTCCTACTTGGTCCTCATAGTCTCTTAGATTTATTTCTCTTTCTTTCAAAAGAAAAAATCAGTCCTTAAGGAATTTTAAGTTGCTTACATTACAAATTACACCACATATTAGCATCACTTTTTTCATATTTTTCACCAGTTAAAATGTTTAAGATCTTACTGTGGCAAAGTTATTATGTGTTGAAACTAAATCAAAATCAAACATTCTGACTTTATACAAACAATCTGTTTCAAACACATTAAAACACCATTGAAATTATGCTTCACGGAAATGTTTGAAACTATTAATTGGTTCTCATGGAAAGTCTCCAGTTTATAAACTCAGCTGTTTTTGACACTTCTACACTTTCAGTGCAGAAAATCTGCTACTACAGTTCATATTAATGCCAAATTTGGCCCATGAGGCAGCTGATATTAAACCACTGTCACCCAATTTCTAAGGGAACTATAAAAAACTGTAGATTCGGAAGATGCTGCAGGGAGCCTATAACCTCAAATTCTAAGCGAGACAGAAAAGTTGATCTGATGTGATGGCCCACATGGGACCAAGGGGTAAAAATGAAGAGCAAGAATGGCATTAAAAGGTACTATAATCACCTACAGTCAAATTAAGACTGGTATTGCCTGAAAACCTTGATGCCATCAGCTCTCTGCCCTAACCTGCTCCCTAGCAGTTCTACTTGTGAATCAAGGCATGAATATGCACCCAAAAATATGTCTGTAGCCATCTCCAATTTCAATTTAAGTTAATATTCTGGTTTAAGTCTCAGTTTAAACTGCAGAAAGTCGGGAGAGGACATACCTCCCATTCATCCATCCTTGATGCAAAGGTATTAGCCTCCAAGCAAGGAAAGGAAGCAGGTACACAAGGATAGCACATTTTACATCACTCAAGTGCCAAATATAAGCCATACAAGTATAGAGGTGGACATATACACGTGTAGGATTAAAGAGTACCATCAGTTTGAAATATCTTGTGTTCCTGTGAGAGGAGCATGCCAGCAGAGTGAAGTGGACATCTGTCTAAGCACATATGGGATGGGATCCATGCCCCAATCCACATATGTGGAAGTAAGCCACAGTTTACAGGGTGCTTTTAGGGGATTGCTGTATCCTTTGGCCAAAACCCCTTTCTGTATTGCACTGGTGCATGAAGGGTCTTTTAGAAAGAGCTTTAAACTAATGACCTGAAACCAGCATAGAAGTTAAGTTTTTGCACCCTGTCATTAGCATGTGCCTCTGCCCCATGTGCCCTGGCTGTGATAGCTGTGATAGCCGTGTAGGCACTGCAGAGATGGCTGGGTGCAGGCAGGCATGTGTTTGCTCTGAGCCAGCTGAGCCCTCCCTTATCTCTCCCTGCTGCCTTGGTGAAGCTTCTCTTCACGCTACTGTTCACCCGAATATCAATGAGTGAAAACGAGGCAGTGCCAGCGTTTCGGAGGGGAGAGACGGGGGCAAGCTCTTTCTCTTTCTCCCTCTCTGTCTGTCTCTCTGTACCACACCTCCCCCCGCCTTTTCTTATATATTGCCAGGTTTAAAGCACAAACTGTGCCCTGTGGCAAGTGTCTGATTGCAGATAGTTTTCTCAGCACCCTCTCTTCAGATTGCATAATCCAAGCCCAGAAAGACTTCTCTGTTTATCCTGAAGTAACCCTCACCTGTGGGCAAAGCTCTCCCCACTGCCCTGCCCCAGCTGCTGTGTACTCACAATTCACAGTGACCCGGACTTGCTTGACGTCCGCTGAGGCAACTTCGTTGGCAGCTTTGCACTCGTACTTGCCCGACTGCTCTCGCGTGATCCCCAGGATCTCCAGGTACTCCTCCTCACCTTCAAACTCTCTGCCTGGTAGGACAGAAAAATACAAAGAGTGGTTCTGTTAGGCTTTCAGATTTAGGAAATTGCTATGGAGGAACAATCACAGCATGGAGTCTGCAAACAAGCAACAGTCATGATCTGTTTTAAAGTTATTTCAGAAGCTGCTGAAAACTGAAATCTGGAAGGCACCATACAGGTGGTACAATACATAGCATCTCACAGGCTGCCCAGGCTGAGAAGCAAAATGTCCACCACGTAAGATGAGACTAAGTTCAATAGTGTGGTGGCTGAGTACCACCAGAGGTTAGTCATGCTGTGGGTAATGTGCTGGACCCAGGGCTAGCTGGGTCCTCAGATGTGTTGTCAGCACCTTTTCTCCACTGCAAAACTGTGAAAAATGTCTTTCTGTCTCCCAGAGCAACCACCACCCTGAAGTGCCATCGATCAGATCAAGCTACGTTAAACACAGCCAAACTGAGAGAAACAAACTGTAATTTGATCTGCAGAGACCAATAATCATCATGCATCCCTGAGCTACTGTACATATGAAATGACACATTTAAACCCTGCTGCCTCACTTACACACTTTGGAAAACAGTGACTTGAGTGTCAGTCGGGGTTATGGATGGGGGCAGGAATCAGGGGAGTCTGTGGCCTTGCTTTTAACTCACTGTGTGACCTTGAGTGAGTCACTCCTTTGCTCTCCCTCTGTAAACTGCAGCAAATAGCACCCCCTCTCCCATCACCTCCTGGTTAGAGAAGGGCAGCGAGGTTAACCCATGTAAAACGCATTAGATTCATTGCATGAAAGTTGCCAGGGAAGCATGAAATATTAGGATTGGTATATCTACCCTATTCCTTCAGAAAGCAAAATAAGGCACCTCCTGGAAAGAATCTAAACCACATTTCCTCCTCTCAGAGGAGGAAAGCACTGCTCTGCAGCATTGGAAATGGCAAGCCCCAGCTGTGTGCCTGTCTATGTTTAGAGAAATCAGCCCCTAACCTTAAAAGTGTAAAAGACAGATTTGAAAAAAAAAAATAAAAGGTCACATCACAAGAGCTCCCATTCAGGTTCCTCAGAGAGTGGTCAGATTTTCCAAAAACCTCTCTGCCCAGAAGGTATTTTCTGCTCAACAGGTGCTGAGCACTTCTGAAACCCTGCCCACTTCACAAAAGTTCAGTTTTTGAGAGAGTTCAAATAGTGCCTACTGTTTGCCTTGGTTTATGGCACTGCATGAAAGCAGTGGGTAACTCTGGTCTCTGGAGCTGAACTTCTCATGGAGCCACCTGCAACAAAATCCACCCCAGAGGCACAGACTTGCTGCAGTGTCTTGGCCAGGTCAGCCTGGTGATGCCAGCTGTGTGCAATTCCCTTCAGCATCAGAGAGGAACTTCAGAAACTTCAAAATCTGCTCAGAAGTCTGTCTCTTACATTTTGTTTTTATTATTTTTCTATTTCACAGGCAATTTTCAGAATCATTCTAGGAGAAAACCACCCCCTGTCACGGAGACTCAGCATGAAAACAGCGGTGTCCCTATTAAACTCATGTAAAGACAAGGGCTCCCCCTCTCTTTCAGCAGGGCTAATCAGCAGTCCCTTCTTCCAGCTCATACCAGATGTTCAGGTAGCAAAAATCTCATTGCTATGTCTAAAATTTACAACTGCTTTGTTTTTTGCTTCCCCCCAAAGTCTGCTGCAGCATCTTCCTGCATGGCAGCAGCATTTTGCACAAGGGAAGGAGGCAAAGTTGGCTCCTGCTGCCAGAACATGGCTCTCAGTCCTCTGCTCTGCACTGGGGCTGATGCTTGAAGAGTCAGTGGAGAAGGAAGCAGGGTGGGATTTTCACAGGTTTTTTGTATTTCTGGAACTCATGAACATGTTAGGGAGTCCCAACCCCAGCAGGACCAGAATAAGGTGAGTCTCAGAAATGCGGAAGAGACTTCAGTCACCATCTAATCCGTTCGCCAGTCTCAAGGCAGGACACGTGAGTCATGTCATGGACACAGCCATCCTCTGCCCTCCAGCGGCAGAGATTCTGCAGCCACTCCTGACAATCTGTTCCTGTGCTTTGCTGTCCTTACCACTGGAGCAGTTTCCTGAAGTTAGACCTGAGTCTTCCTTGCTGCAATTTAAAGCTATTACTTTTGTCTTACCCACTACAGACAAAAAGAATAAATCATTCCCTCCTTCCCTGCAATAGCCTTTTATCAACTTTTAAATCACTTAGTTCCTCCCTCGGTTGTCATCTTTTTTTTTTTTTTTCCTTTTGGCTGAACATTGCCAGGGTCTTTCAACCTTCCTCTGTAGGTGAGGTTTTTTTAGGCTCTTGATCATTCTTGTTCTTTGCTTTTAGACCTCTCTGACAAGTTTACATTTTTCTGGACTTGTGATACCCCAAACTGAACGCAGCATTTCAGATGAGGTGTTACTGTGGCTCACAGATGAAGGATTGCATTGCAACTACTGCACCGTGCTGTTGTCTGTAGAGGCAGCACATTGTTTCTGGTTTTGTTACTGAAGGGATAATTTCTGTTGGGGAACTCGCTTAATTCCCAGATTTTCTTATGGCATATTGCTACTTGCTAATAAAGCACTTTAAAAATCCCACCCCCAAACTGAGCTGACAACCAACACTCATCTCCTTTCACAGCAGCACTCCCAGTTGGTAGGTCAGTGAGTTGACTGGAAAGTTAATCAGACATCAGGGAAAGACTCACAAAGAAAAGGTTAAAACATAATTTGCCTCTGTTTTGCAACTCATTTGCTCTGCAATTCTGCCTTGTTTATACACAGGGTTCATTCCAAGTGGGACTTGCTTCTCCTCCAATTTGCCCTTGTCACAAGACTGTCACCGTAATGAAGACAGGGTTGAGGGTGACTTAACCAGCTCTAATGGAGTGGCACCCTCATTACGGGTGCTGTTAAGTCTGTCAGAGAACTACATAAGTGGAGCTCCAAAGTAACCTACAAGGGTAGATACCTTCCCAAAGGAAGATGTTTTTGAGCTTCTCCCCTGCATACTTACATGCACTCAAAGTGTACTGTGTACCATGTCCGACAGGAGAGCTTTCACAGCTGCACACAACCCTTCCCAGGACATGATGAGCTGCTGGCTTGCCCTGTGGAGTGCCCTGGAAGTAACTGAAAGGCAGGACTTCTGTTCTAAAGGACATGTCAATAACCCTATTCAGCTCCTCATTCTCCTCTCTAGGACACACATATAAGCAAAATACTTCAGGGAAAGTTTCTGTGATGCAAAATACTTCAGGGAAAGTTTCTGTGACAGTCTTTTGCTGTATAAGTGGTAGCACACTTCTTGTCTCTGCACTGGTGACCCTGAGCATCAACATTTTGTTACAAGAACTGAGCTGTTCTCACTTTCAAGACAGACCCTTTTGCTTTCTGCCTTGTCCCCTCTAAGAGCACATTAACCATTTCTAACAAAAAAATTTATATAAAATTGAGGTGCTGTAGTACAGAGCAGGGAGAGGAAAGATGTATCACAGTGTGTTAGAGGAATGTCAGGTTGTGATATCTTGCAGAGAGCTGTAGAGATTTCACTAATTCACTTTGGCAGCCAGATTAGGTGAGTCATATTAACTCTAACCTCTAAGGCAAAAAGGGGGTGAGGGGAGCAGGAACAGAACTTTATACCTCGAGTGAATTTACATATGTTTCTGCACGGGAGCCAGCTTTGGTAGGGAACTGATGGTTATCACTGTGCAGTTTATCAAAGCAGGGAGGGAGAAGGCTTGGACAATGTTCTTTGGTACCAATAACAATGAACATGTTCTATTAGGTGAAAGAGGGATTGCCAACTCCTGGCAAGACAGCCACTCCATTCCCATTAAGAGATTTGCCTTGAGCAGATTATCAACAGATGAAATTCTGACCGTACTGCCAAAGCTTCCTTGCTGACAAGGGTTGTCTCCTGGCAGTTCTGCCTGGTTCAGTACAGCCCTTTCCCAGTGAGGGTCCTTTCAGGTTTCCCTAGGTGGATGACTTCTCACTCAGTGCAGCTGTTCACATCCTAAACCATCCCCTTGCATGACTGCAGGCAACCTGCTTCCCTACAGGTTTTTGTCTTTCACATGTTCATAGTTAGCTTGGTTTGTTGCTACAGCCCCATTAAACACTGTCTTGCCAAGCTGTAGCTCCTTAACGCTGTCCCAGTGAATCAGAAAGAGGAGCTTTCTGCTCTGGAGGCTGGAGATAGAGAGAGCACGAGCCTGGGAGGCTCGACAATCAAACCAAGAGGGAACGACCCTGAGCAGCACGAGCCAGGCGGCTGCTGCCGCTCGGAGCTGGCAGAGCCTTTTTTGCAGAGGGATCTGCGGCAGCAGCTTTGATGTGTGCAGGAAGAAGGCTTTGAAGGCCTGCTTGCCTCAGCCACATTTCCTATCCCCTGGCTTCCTAATTGGACCCAGTAAATAATGAAGCTGAACAGCAAATCTGCTTGGCTATGCTAGCCTGCTGGCAAGAAACCTTCCTTTCCCCTTACCCTCTGGAAATAGCTTTGTACAACCCCATTGGCTCTGCATATTGTCCTTGTTGCTGTGCACACCTGCCTGTGCTTTCATATAGATATGATATATATCTATATATATATGCTATATTCTGTATTTTATATACTCTGTATTTTACTTGTTTTCACATCTGTAGATCCACCTGTGTGTGCAGAAACACAGACTGACACGTTCCCAGGCATTTATGGGCCCTTCTCACCCCTACCCAAACGGCCCCTTGCACTGCCACACACCATCACTCTTTCCTCAAAGGCTAAATGCTTCCTTTCTACAAATGAGCCACACCCAGTCAAAATCCCACTTGTGCTGTGTGCAGACAGCTCTTTCAGGTAGTCAGGGCCAGCAATGCATTCAGTCACCTTCTCCACCAGAGAGCCCTTTCCCTTCATGCCCTACTTTCTTACATCTCCAGAGGGGAAGCTGATCTCCAGAGGTGGCAGACACACTTTGTTTCATCTCCTCTCCTGTCTTGTGCATCCAACACTGGGCTTCTTCTTGTG